CACAGCCTCGCCCGCCGCTCCAGGCTGCGCGTCCACCTTCTTCCGTAGCAGCTCCGTGTAGAACAGGGCGGCCTCACCTAGGTCCTGGGGCGGAGACAAGGGGCTGGGCGCTGCGGGGCCCTGCCGCGCTCGGCCGCCCCCCGCCCCCCGAGGCCCCCGCAGACGCACCTGGCCGAGCTGCGTGCGCAGCTCCTGGGCCTGGGCGGGGTCGGGCCACGCCAGGCGCGCCCAGAGCTCCTGGCTGTGGCTCAAGTGCAGTGCCGCGGTGGCGGCGGAGCTGCTGTGCTTGGAGGCGGCGTCCACGGTCTCCAGCTGGAGGGCAGAGCCGCCGGGGTTCCTGGGGGGCCCTGCGAGCCCCAGCCCCTCTGCCGAGCAGGCGCCCACCCACTCACCGTGTCCACGTCCACGGCGGTCTGCAGCCGCCACCGGGTCTGGTCCCGTAGCACCTGCAGCCAGAGCTTGATGGCCGGCAGGAAGGGGACGTGGATGCCCGCCAGGGCCAGGGAGCGCCTGTCCCTGCCAGGGAGACGGTCAGAGCTCGCTGGGATGGGCGTCTCCGGCCAACAGGAGTGCAGGCCAGGGGCCTAGGTGGGCTGCCCAGGGACGACCCCTCCACACGCGCGCGCGTGCGCGGTTGCGTGGCAGGTGGAGGGAAGGCACCCACCGGGCGGGGACGTCACTCCAGAAACGCTGGGTGTCTGCCAGGGTCAGGTAGAGCTCAAAGAGCCCTGAGGCCACCTCCGGGGTCAGCTTGGGACTCAGCTCCTCTGTCAGCACCCACGCCTCCTCCGCCACCTGCCAGGAGGGCGGGGTCAGGCGCCCTGGCACCTGGGGGGCCACCTCCTGCTCCCCCACCTGCAGCAGGTGCCCGGGTCCCTCCTCACCAGACGCTCCAGCTGCCGGAAGGTGAGGGTGAAGAAGTCGACCTCCAGGATGCTGCAAAGGGTTCACCTCAGCCAGGTGCCGCCCAGCTGGCCGCGGTGCCCACCCCGGCCCCGGCCCGGCGGGTACCCGTGCTGGGCGCGCACCTGTGGAAGATGCTGGCGTACACGCCGTAGCAGGCCTGCAGGTCCTCGTACACGGCGTCGGCCAGCGCGATGAGTCCCGGGAGGCGCTGCGGCGCGGGCTGCAAGGGAGGCCGGCTCGCACCTGTGTCGCGCTCGCCCGACTCGCCGCGGCCAGCCCGCCCTGCGCCGCACCGTACCTGCTCGCGGGGGCTCTTGGCCTTCAGAAGCCCGTCGTACCACTCGCGGTTGCCTCTCTGCGGCGGAAGCAATGGGCAGCAGGGAAAGGGTGGATGGGAGGGCGGGGCGCGGGGAGGGCGGGGATTGGTGGGTCGTGTCCGGCCCGCACACCTTCAGGGCGGCAGTGATGTCTGCGTGGAGCTGGGTCTGGAAGGGGCCGGCCTCGAAGGCAGGCTGGAAGTGCCGGAGCTTGGCGAGACACCTGGACGAGGCCGCCCGCTGACTGGGGACTGCTCCCGGCCGCCGGCCAGCCCGCCCGCCCTCGCCCACCCGCGGCAGCACCCACTTGAGCAGCAGCTCCAGGCGGTAGACGGCCGTGCTGTTGGCGGCAGGGAAGTAGTCCCGGAGCTGGCGCAGCAGCCGGAGCGCGAACTCGGAGAAGGCGGAGAAGCTGTCGGCCAGACTCTCCACCTGAGGGCCCACAGACACCTTCCAGCCACCTAGCGGGTGACTGCAGCGGCCTGGCAGGGCTCTGTCCCCAGGAACACCCTGCCACTCCCCGTGTAGCCTCACTGGCCAGCCTCTGGCCTCCGCCTTCTTAAGTGCCCCCGGTGCGCTGTGTGCCCCAGGGCCTTTGCATGGCCGTCCCTGCGCCTCAGCTGCCTTGCCCACCCTGCAGGTGCCCACTCCCTCATGTTCAGAGCTCAGATTCAACGTGGCTCCCGGATGCCCCCTCCTGCTCACTCCAACCCTCCCCCACACTGTGATGTCCGATGTCATGCAGCTTGTCCCTCCGGCCTAGCAAGGAGCAGGTCACGCCCACCTGCTCCTGGGGCAGCGAAGGGGCCTCCTCCCAGAGAGCCTGCAGGTCCTCTAGTAGCCCCAGCAGGTAGCCATAGTCCAGGGAATGTGTCTGATGGTGCCGACTGCTGACCTGCCATTGCCTGTGGGGTCCGGCGGGTCAGGGCAACGTCCTGCCCGTGCCAGCTGCCCCACCCCAGCCTGCCACTCACAGTACGGCCAGCTGCAGGGGCGACAGGTTGCTCTGGGCTCCGTGCAGAGAGAGGACCGTGGCTGCCGGCCCACTGAGCTCACCATGCCAGCTGCTCGAGCCAGGCTGGGGAAGGAGGGTGGGTGTGAGTGGGTGTGGGAGCCCGTCACACAGCGTGCGGGGTGCCCGGGGTGCCTGCTACCTCCTCGGCCCGGTGTTCAAACTCCAGCAGGCTGTTCAGTAGCAGCATGTGGGACAGGTACCCGGAGCGGCCACACTGGCTCATGACGGTGTCTCTCTGCAAGGCAGGTCTCGCTGTCACCAGCCCCACCAAGGCCCCCACAGGTGGGAACATGGGGACAGTGGCCCGATGCGTGCCTACCTGCGTGGTGATCAGCTTGAGGACCAGGTGACACTCGCCCTGCACGCGGGAGGCGCTGGACCGAGGCTCCAGCTTGAACCAACGGTCCTCCCCAACCACGGGCACCTCCTGGGGGCACAAGGCAGGTCAGGCCCATGTAGCCTCCTATGACCCTCCCTCCCCTCTCCTACAAAGACTTGGGCTTCCTGGGGGTGCAGGGAGATGGGGGCCTCTGAGGCTGTCCCTCCCACCCAGCCCATCTGCAGGGGCCTGGCCCCATGGAGGAGCCCTGTGTGGCGGGGGAGGGACAGAGACTTGGGGGTTCCCAGCACGAGAGTGTGCAGCAGCTGTTGGGAGTGGCCCACTCACACGGACGGGTATGTTGAGGCACCCCAGGAAGTCATCAGTATGGTCCTCAGTGACCCCTGTTGTCCCATTCGTCCGGGCCGACTTGACAATCTGTTTAAAATACCTGGGGGGCGGTGCTTTGGGCTAGTGCTCCCCAGGGACTCAAACCACAGGTGCAGGGTCTGAGGGCACAGAGACAGGGGCCCCCAGGCTGGGTCCCCAAGTCCCCCTACCTGCCCATGCCTTTCAGGCCCATGACCTCGTTCAGCTTTCTGCAGGCTTCCACCAGGGACACATCGTCATCATGGTCCCTGGGGGCAGCAGGGGACCTGGCTTACCTGGAGCCCCCAGCCTGGCCCCAGGTCCCCATCACCACGACTCCCCATGCCGTGCAGGGCCCATACCAGATGTCCAGGTGCAGCTGGTCTGTGCTGACGTCCTCGATCTCACTGCGAAGGACAAGGACACCATGAGGATGTGGGGTATATTCTGCCCAAGGCTGGTGGGTGCAGGAGGAGGCACGGGGAATGAACCTGCGTGCTGACTTTGGAAAGAGGGTGCCTGGGTTCGAATCCTGACTCCTACTTATTACCAGCTGTGTGGCCCCAGGGGGGCAGCACATCTCTCTGAACCTGTTTCCCCCTCTGGAAAGCAGAGGTGTGACTAACCCCCACCCCGGAGTCCCCTGGGGTGGGCAGTGAACCGTCACCCTCCCACCGCAGCCACCATGGCCCCGGCTGTGCAGGGTCTCACAAGAGGAAGTGCTCCTTCCACACGGGGTTCAGGGTGCTGCTCTTGACCTCAGTGACCTGGATGCACTTGGCAGGCAGCGGATCCCTGGCAGCGCCCCCGCCGCCCCCGCCGCCGCCGCCTCCGCTGCCTCCGCTGCCGCCGCTGCGCCGGCTGCCCTTGCGGAAGCTGAAGCGCTGCTGCTTCCCGGAGGGCTCCCTCGGGGAGGCACCCGAGGCCGGCAGGATGCCCAGCATGCAGTAGGGGTCGCTGAAGCCTGGGGGGGCGGCGGGTCACCGGGCTACCTCGCCGCCTGGCCCACGCCCTGCGCCCTGGCTGTCGCCCACTCACCATTGGGGTCCTTGGCCAGCAGGTTCTTGGCTCGGATCACGGAGACCTTGAGGGCGTAGGCTGGGGCCTGCAGGCGGAACCGTGATCACAGAGCGAGTGCGGTGACCTCCGGCCCCCGCCTGTGCTCCCCACGCACCGCAGGGCTCACCTTGGCCTTCTTCACGCGTGCCACGGCCTCCGCGTGCCGCTCGGGGCTGGAACTGAACACCTGGCAGGCGGGTGGAGGCCGGGTGAGCCCAGCAGGGGCCCGGCTGCACTCCTCTCCCCGGGAGAGGGGCACTGGAGGGGTCGGGGCGCTCCAACCACCCCGGGAGCGCGGAGCGGGCACGCCATCGGCCGCAGGCGCGCCGAGCGGGCGCGTGTGCGCCACGTGGACTTGGCGACGGCGCCGAGGGGGCGCGTGTGCGCGCGAGCGGAGTGGGCGGGCGGCGCTCACCTGGCCCAGGTAGGCCAACAGGGCGTCCTGGTCGTCCACCTGGTCAGGGCCCATGGTCCCCACGCGGTGGAGGACGGTGTACAAGGCCTCTTCGTAGAGCATCGCCTCCTGGGGCGGGGTGGCTCTGAGTCCGCGGCCGCGCCCAGCCCTGAGCCCCCCATGGCGCGCCCCGGGCAGCGCTTTACCTCATCAGGGCTCAGGGTCCTCAGGCCGCGGCTGGG